GAATAAATGAATGTGAATGAATGAATGAGGGAGGGAGGGAACGAAGGAAGGAAGGAAGGAAAAATCACTGCGAGTTAGTAGGTGAGTTAATTGTCAGATAAATGAGTATTATTGATTGACAACTGATTTCGTTTCATTTCATTGTTCCTCTAGGATGGTCTACCGTAGATGAGCAAGACAATCCTGTCAGAAATCTCACCCTTCTAGCCAATGGAAGTCTTATAGTTTCACCTCCTCCCTCTCAAACTGTTGTCTATCTTTCTGCACCAGCTAATTTTCTTGGAGACAGATTATGGTCCTACAAACAGAGGCTTGAACTTGAAGTAAGTTATCAATTAAGAAAATATGAAAAGAAATTATACCAAGTTACTTATCACTGTAAGGAGACATGCGAGCGTGCCGTGACCGCGTAGTGTCGTGAACGTGCCATAGTGTGACTGTTTGATTGCGTGATTTAGCTGATGAACATTCCGCACGAGACAAAACGACTCCAAGCGAAATCCAGCTATGATCACCTTACTAAAAGCGTGAATGCAATATTTAATGTCACGCAAGATGGTCACGCAATGGGTGGTACAAAGCCATTTGCTGATAAGATCTTATTACTCTTTTAGATGGCCATTAGTCCTGGAGGTAACGAAATCTTTAAAGCTAGTGACGTCATGCTAGAAGGGCGTGGTCGTAATGTAACACTGTTTATGACACCCTCGCCATCACCTGATACGAATTCCTACCACGTGGTATTGGATGAAGAACACGTGACCCCGTCCAATTCTGTCACACCTTTTGAATTCCAGTCCATTCTCACTAATCTGACGTCAATCAAAGTGCGGGCACTTTACTTTCCGGGAGGCTCTGTATCTTTCAAAAGAATATCTCTCGCTCATGCTGTTAAGAACGAAACAGTTCCAGAAAACATGCAAGTGAGGTTTGCGGAAAATGCATCATGCCATCAGAATTACAGTGGACTCTCCTGCGAGACATGCGCACCAGGTATGAGACAACTCAAATCAGGGTTAGCCTCAAATTCGTGTAGAATATTGACATGTTCTATTGTAGGTCTGTGGAATTCAAAAAGTGTTTAAGTTGTGCATTCTTTACTGTTATTTGTAAAAATTCTGACGCTAAAGACCACAAAGATAGCTAAATAGAAAATTTATTTAAAACTATCCTGTTTTAATACGGGGCTACGTAAAAAAAATTCAGGTTGGGAATTGGTCATACATTTTACTTACAATTCACAAAATCCCAAGAGTTTTCTCCCTCTACCCCACCCCTTCCCCCTCTCCCCCACCCCTCCCCCCTTCCCCATGCCTGTAAAAATGAAAGGTTCCTTACGTTTTTCCTCTTCTCTTTCTTCCAGGCTACAAACGAGAGATTCTTGGTGACAGTCCTTTTGGTCGCTGTGTGTTATGCTCATGTAACGGACGCAGTACTCGGTGCCACCCGGATACCGGAGTGTGTACGAACTGTGAAGTAGGTACCTATGGTGACCGCTGTGAACACTGTACTAATAATGTGCAAGGTCCGGACTGTACCCGCTGTAAGACAGGCTACTGGGGACTCTCAAGGAGTGGTTGTAGAGGTACGATCTCTCCTTTGTTTATTTATTTCATAGCTAAGGAGTTTTATTTGGGATGCCTGATATAGATGGTAGATGGAATGGGGCCCAAACTAATGCACAGTCCCAGGTTGGCAGAGAAGAAAAAAAGCAAGGAAGGAAGTAAGGAAAGAAGGTGGGAACGATGGAAGGATGGAAGGAAGGTGGAAGAGGGAGGGAAGGAATGACGGAAGAAAGGTGGGAAGAGGGAG